TGGGCTAGACGATCACACTTATAAACGTTGAACAAATGATTTAACGGGGACGTGCGGCAAGGCCCGCAAGTTATTATATTTAAATATACAAAACAGAAATAAGCTGGTACAGAATTGACTAAAAATAAATTTGTGTGCAATACATATATACAAATGAAAATAGTAACAAAAGGAAAATAATAACAATGTAATCGGAAACTTGATCACACAGGTGTACATAAAAAAAAGGTCTGCTAACCTATAAATTGATATAAAAAAAAAAACATATTACATAAGGCTATCACGACTCACGACCAGACGTTATCGGCGGCGGTCCAATGTGGTTTGGCAGATAAGCAGCGATTGAGGCGACTTGACGGCGACAAAAGTCCCACAAGGTGGCGGTGCTTTGGCTCCGACCTCTGTTTGAGGTTAAGTGGACCGCGGAGGACAATTGTCCCACCAATCAACGGTCAACGACGCACGGGCGCAAAATCGCGTATAGCGGATACGAATCGGTCGCGAGCGGATGATACTGCGCGAACGCGTGACGAAACGAAACGTAGTGGATATAAACGAACTTTATTGAGCTCCCGTTAACTGGGACTTGGACGACGGAGCCGCAACATGTGAACGGCACAAAAAGCGGTTTGTTGGCATGGACTCGAACGGTGCCGACGTGAAACACGGCGATTATGTGAGATGCGGGCGTTCGCGCTGAAACTTGAGTCGACAAACGATACGACAACATCAATGGAAAACAACGGAAACTAAAACGCGACTTTGGCACCGGACACAACAATGGACGCAGGCGACAGGCCACGAGTGTACGGCAAAGGTCGCACACACTAGTCGAACGGGCGAGCGGTAACGGTTCGCGTGACGACAAATCTCAGGGGGAGGCAGGGGTGCGGGATGGCCGGTCCGATAACGCTGGTGGGTACCGGTGATAACGGTGCACGAACACTAGTACTTTTATTATAATTAGACCATGGTTAACTAGATAAACTATGATATGCGTAGTCATAGGAATTGAAGAACATGTTAATGAAAAGTATAACGGCGAATTTAGACTGAAGTGCTGTGACAGAGACGACATTATATTCTATGGACGTTGATCTTGTCTCTCTCCAACCTACCTTCAAAATTTAATTTTTTAAAGTCTTTACAAAAAGGGCTTTTTCGCGAAAACTGCATGATGTCGAGTTTAATAATACTTATGAGAAGGCATTTTCCAAAGAAAAAACCCGCTGTGAAGAAAAATATATAATCAAGCAAGTTTGAGTGAGCCGTTCTTTCGGGATTTTGTTTATAACTTAATGCAATAACTAATCGAATTATTATTTAAATAACAGTATTTCTATTGTGCGAATGAAATATGTTTGTGTATCGACGATTCGTATTTATTTTTTTGTCAAAACCTCTGCTTCGAAATGCTGGAACGAAAGCTTTCTATTGTGTAACAATCATTATACAATTACAATGTCTACGCATTTTCGAAATTCAACGCTCACCTTTTTTTTTCCTTTTCTTCACACTCCAATAAATATTACGACTAGGGAATTATAATGTAAGTATACGCACTTTAGCGCCGATACAAATTTCATAAATATTCAATTATTATTTATAATGAGTTTACTGCAGGTGTAAACTGTTTACACGTGCTGTTTTTTTTTTTAAAATTCTTACGAATACATATTCGTACAACACATTATACATATTATCATTATTATTATTTATTATATTAAATATAGTTGTTTCAACAATAATATAGTAAAAAATATACTTTAAATAAATATTTTTTGATATACATCTGATACATAATTTATGAGTTACAATCTGATAATTTATAATTAAACAGGTAGAGTAGGAAAATAGTAAATATTTTAAATGCCTCCAAATATTTAACCTTTCAAATATGATTTTTAAAAAAAAGTTTGAATTATATTGTAAATAGAATCATTTAAAGGCTGAAAATTTAACTAAAATCAATCAGAAAATTTGTAATGCTTTGTGGATAATCGCTGAATCCTGATAAAAAAAAATGACAGTGATATTACTATCGGTTAGTTTGATATTATTTTAAATAATAACGGGCTTTTTGTATTGACAGACGTCTATGTCGTTATTAAAACAGATTCCGGAAATGCGACCCATGTAAATTGGATATTAATATTCTCCGTCGTCTGTTTTCATTTGCAACAATAATAATTACATAATACACAATATTGAAAGCCGAGTGTAATCGAAAATTCAAAATCAATATCGGATGACAGATTAAAAATTCGAAGAAATATAAAACCAATCTAACCGTGTTTTACTTTGCTCGTTATCACGTTTATTATTTTACCGTATACAGCTGTTGACTGTTGACGACGACGATGAGAACATGCACCAACCACTACATCGCCGCTGAGGATGGATCCAATATATAAATTCAATTAATTTAAAACACGGCAATCAGGTTTAATATTATTATTATTTATTATTATCTTTGCGAAAAACCGAATGAAAATTAATATCACAATAGTAACTCACTGAATATGTTTAACGTTTTCGTGGTAAAACTATATTATAAGTTCGATTAGTCAAATAGAAAATTTCGCTATCTAAGCTTTTGAAAATTTCGAATGCTTTAAAATAAGAAATCACTATTTTGGTAAACTTTTTTTTTATTACGTATCATAATTACACAACAGTTGTGTGTGTGTATTAGCATGCAGTAGATATTATTTATTCTGCGCTGGGTATAGGTAATCGAGGATTTTTCGGGCAAATATCCCGGAAGTGCGTATACCTACATATTGTATAAAACGTAGTTGTGCTGGTAGGAATTATAATTTAAATATAGTGGTAAATCTAAACGATAACGTATGGTTTTAAAATATTATAATAATAATGTTATGTTTTTTTATTACTTATTACTAAATACTTTTTGGTTTTGTATGATAATTGTAATAATTATTTATGTTAAATGGATGCTACATCCCTATTTACTGTTTCAGTCCAACTAATGAATAACAGCAAAATTACATTACTTTTTTTTGAACCACTCAAGTGTGATTCACACAGGAAATTTGTCTACCAGCGATAGATTTGGCTGAGGATATTACATAAACAAACATACAGACACTTTCATTAATTATTATAGTTTAGTTGCTGTATTACCTGGCTTCACCCGGTTGGTATATTCATATGATTATTTTTAGAATAACGAATATATTTATTATTATTAAAGTTATAATATTTCATGGTAAACAATATTGATAGTTTTGTTGATTAGGAAAATGTATACATACGTTATTTGCAGAAATAACACGGAATCAGACAACAAAGAATTACCGTGAAGGATCGTAATATTGAGCCCATTCAACTCCTTTCCTAAATATGTTTCTGTATAAACAGGGTGTCCAACGAAGATATACCATTGTAATATTTCCGGAAATAATAAATATAATACAATTATTTTTATATATTACTCATAGGGATAAAGAATACAATAATATATATTCCAATTAATTTTTCTCTTTTGGTAAAAAACTAAAAAAAAATACTTTTTATTTTTTAAACGCTTGACGGTAACTATTACATTATATTATAATACTTATTCTTCTAAAAAAGTTGACGTTTCAACTTTATATTTACATTGAATTTGTGATTTTTTATAATTTGTTGAAGTTCGGAGAAAAGTGCCAATAAATGTGTAGTAGACTATAATCATATTTGCTAATTAATTATTATTGTTATGGCTAATTATTTGTACACTTTTTTCTTAGAACTTTAAAACGTGTTTAAAAACCACAAATTTAACGAAAAAAAAAGTTAATACGTCACAATTTCCAGAAAAATAAACTCTATAAAATACTAACTTCAATTTTTTTAAAAAATAGTAAAATGAAGTTATTTTTTAGATTTTTTAGCGAAACGTAAAAAATTAATTAAAATATAAATATTTTTAGTCCTTTTCTCTGTGAATAATATATATATATATATGAAGAAAAATAAAAATAATTTAAATATCTTTATTATCTCTATCTAAAGATATTATAACGGGAATATTTTTGGTGATACACTTTGTATACAAATGAAATTTATAGAACCTTTCCTTAACTGCTCTTCTTGGATCGTGGTCTCAAATTTAAAAGCATGTGAGTGGCCTATTTAATATCAATAGGAAAAGTTCACTATAATACGATCTATCTATAATCTATCTCGTAAATAGATCAAATGTTCGTTTAAAATACATATGTTGTTTTATAAGTATTTATCAAAATGAACTTCCCGAGAGTTTTAGATTTTGTATCAGCATAAAAAGTAGTATGTGGCACTTGTCAGGTTATTGAATATCTTTACGAAATATCACGTCAAAACTTTTTATTATGGCAATGAAGATACCGTTCTTTCGTTTAATTCAGTTTACATTAAGTACAACGACTTTTCCCTCGTAAATGAGATTTTTTTCCAATATTAAACGTCACCCATGTTACTTTATTTTCATCTAACTACCCCTATGCAAAAAAAAATCACGTCAAACGGTCACTCCGTTGCTACATTAAAGAATGACAATTAAAAAAATACACTTTTGTATTATTTTATAATATTAAATTTAAATATTTGGCTTGTATTCATTTTAAATTTATTAGTAACTGCACAATATTATCAAATCACGATATTATCATATATTATTAAATCCAAAAAACAAATAATTTTCTATAAAGTAGTTACAGTATTAATATCCCGGCCGAGCTTTCACTTCAATATACATTTTGCTGGGTATGCATTTCTGTTTATTATTTTTATTTATCATTGACTCATACTGAAAATTGTCTTTAGTTTACATTTTGATTATAATGGTTATAGTAATCGTTTTTAAATAGTTAATTCTATCGTTTAATGTAACTAGGTAAAATATTTGTTTACATTTTTCTAAACAATTAATTTTTTTATAAACAACAATATAATTAAAAATTAAAATTGTTTTTTAACTTATGGTTTCTGACCTTAAATTAAACTGAAATATAATGGACAAAAATATTAATAATAATGAAGATCAGATCAAATGTGAACAAAACCAAAAATATATAAAAGAACTTAATGAAAAACTGTGCGACTATGATGATGTAATTGCCCAAAGAGATGAAATGCAATACCAGATGTCCACGGCACTTGCAAGATTGGACTCCATGAAAACCAAACAAATGGATATGATCACCGAACAAGTTTGTAGGTATGATGAAATAAATAACAATTACAATACAGATCGAGAAGAATTAACTCAATTAATAAAAGAAAACGATTGTTTGCGAAATGAAAATGAGAAATTATGCGTTAAATTAAATGAGCAAGAGGGGCTTCTAGAAGAATTAGAAAATGTTCATTTGACCCTTTTACAAGACGCTCAAAACGTACAAATCAAATTTGAAGATGTGACAGAGATAGCAAACAAATATAAAGAACGAAAACGACAAATGGAAACTGAATTAAGAGTTAAAGATAAAGATTTAATTTGTGTAAAAAATATATTATCGGAGAAAGTAATGTATCATACTCAATTAGAAAAAAAATTAAGTATCGAGCAAATCCAAAATGATAATTTACGATTTTCAATAAACGAGTTAAAATGGAAATATGATAATACTGTTAGATGTTTGAAAGCAAAAATTACTGAACAGCAAAGTAAATTAAATGAAAAAATGCCCAAATTCACTGCAATCAAACGAAAATTGAAAGGTACACAAGAGGAAGTAGAAATACAAAATTACCAAACAATAGAATTAAAAAAAAGAGTTCAAAAACTTCGTCAATTTTATTTTAATAGGAAAAATAAAACAGACAGAGTAGTTTTCGAATTCAAAGTCAAAGTAAAGTCAAAGACTTTGGATCTCGAATTGATTGATACAAAACTTCGTAATGCACAAGAAGAAAATGATAAACTCCAATGTCAGTTGAATGATCAAGAGGAAACAATAAAACGTTTGGTGCCAAAGATAGAACAGCTGCATCAGGATGTGAGAAGTATCAAAGAGACTACAGAATTAACGACAAACGTAAACAAGATGGAATGCGAACGACATGACAAAGAGGTAAAAGCGTTTCAAAGAAAATTTGAATTAAAAGATCACGAAGAAGAAGAATTAGAGCAATTGGTCAGCAAGCAAAACGAGCAGATAAAAAAAATGAAAAAACAATTATTTGGTATGAAATTTAAAACTAGTGAATTGCGAAATCTAGATGTTACTACCTTAAATTGCTTAGAACTGTATGTTGATAAATTAAGTGAAGAAAAAAAAGAACCCGTAACAAACCAATGCAAATTATTTGAATCAAACGATAACAAATGCGAATTAAATAGTAAAAAATGTTGTAATAACCCATGCGTATTATAGTACCTAACAGTATTCAATGAAAATTGAGTTAATAAATTACTGAAAGAGATGTCGATACTGTGGTAAGATTGGAAATCGTAAAGAAATTTTTTGTTTTTGTTCAGATTGCAAGGAAACCCCCCCCCCCCCTTATGTTTAGAGCCATGTTTTAAAAAGTGTTGTAATGATAAGACTATGACAAGATTGTGATAAGCACGATACAAGATATAAGTTATTAAATATGTTATGTAATATAATATTCATAATTCAACGTGTAGAAACACGTGGCTAATCTGTAAAATTGGATATGACGCGCAAACGCGTCATCGACGTTACACATAGAATTACCAACGACGCGTATACGCGTCACCGGCGTTAAATGTGCTAAGTAATGGTCGCTCGTTATCATGACTTGCCCAATACAGTCATCCAACTACGATCGTTGTTTCTTTTAGTGTGCACCCTCGCCGTGACCGAATATCGGTAAACCGTCCGTCCATTGGCAGCCATTGTGTATAAGTGTGGTGTGTGTGCGATTGCTACCATCATATTGTGAGCTGACAATTTTATCTTCATCGTCTATTACACTCGTTCGGAGATTAACCGTTTTATTACGCTGCCTACCCTGATCTCAAACCGGCGTAGGACGTTTCGGTTACCTGTCCGGACCTTAGGTCGGCGTTCGGCCGGTCCAAATGCCTATTTTTATCAGAACCAGCGGAAGATCTGACTGTTGAGTGCCATCATCCATGGTTTATTCCAAACAATTGAACAAAAAAACTACATATGAGCTATAAATTCCAACAAGGTTTTTCCTGAGAGAATGATGGTTAAGGGTTAAAAACAAATTCAAGTTCAGGTTTGCTGCCAAATTTTAAATTGTGAAATATTGCATAAATGTCATGTTATACTTCTCTGATGAAATGCAATCAATTATGGAAAAATTATAAAAACCTACGAAAAACTCGTCAATTTCAATTAAGAGAATACAAAATTATTTTATATATTTATAGAAAATTTATTAGAAAAAAAATTTTACGCTTGTGGAAAATAATACTTAAATACTGTAATATTACAAAATTAAATTATTAGGTGATCAATTAATTATTGTTAAACACACGTGTGTATATAATACATATCTACGTAGTTAAACTGGCACTGTAATAATAGATGATAATATTGATTTTATTGTACAAGTGCTGCTACTGCCACCATCGTTAAAATGGACCACTCGAATGTGGTTCGATTACGTGAAATAATAGCCTTGAACAACAATTTTAACTATAGGTAAGTATTCTCAATTTTGTAGGCGAATCACTGACCGAAAATACCGATGTATTTACCGAGCATTTGAATCGAACGCGATTCCACGTTTTTAGTTGTTTTAGAATTTTTAATGCAGCGAAGATTAATATATTCATTTTACTATGATGTATACAATTTTTAGATTTGTGTATCATGTTTATTACTACATTTTTTTAGTAATTGTAAAAACAGGAAATAATGTGGGACAAACAAAAAGCTTACGGCAGTAAAGGTTTTATAGAATACCTATATTAGCGTTTTCTAGATGTGACAAAATATCCAAAATATTCTGGAAATTGTTGAGTTATTTTTACGCATTTAACTATTTTGAGTTTTTTAGTTTAATTGGTTTTATGTATACATAAAAACGATACAATCGTTTCAGACGAATAGAAATGCTTTGGAAATTTAAAAATGAGGTTTGTTATAAGTATTTGTACTTATATTAGTCATAAAAATTACAACATTATTTTCATAGGCTTTCAAAATGATAATTATATTCATGTTCTATTTAATCGATTTGTTCTGAGCATCGCTAGCACTTTTTCATCTCAAATACAAAGGTGGATAAACTAGTTAACATATTTATTGAGAACTTGTTTAAAACTTTAAAAGTTACTTTTTTAAATTACTTTAATCTTGTTAAAAAAAAAAAAAATCAAATATTAAAAAAAAATTTAGTTAATAACTTAGTAACTTAATAACTTGAATACATAACTTAAACTGAAACAATTAATTTAAAACAATAATAATAATATATTTAATTTAGTTATTTTATTAAACTGTTACTTACTAATTTTTTACATGAATACCATTTTCACATAACAATGATGTAGTATACCCACACCCACACGAGTGTCTTAAGATCATTTTTTATTCGAAGAGTATAAATTACGTTATGAGTTTCGTTAAGGGTAATTTTTTAAAAAAAAAACTTATCTTTTAACTTGACTTGAGTTATTTTTCCTTGTAATTTGTTACTGAAGTCCAGTAACAAGTTTCAACTAAACAAAGTTAACTATAGTTTTTTTTGAAATTCTATATTCGCTAAAATAATATGGCCTCTGAAAATATTTTCTGCATTTCGAGCCCATCACGAAGCCGGAGTTTCGACGAGATCGTATGATATTATGGTCGATTTCAACTGATCTCCTCTTACCTTACAGTCTTCCCGGCCATAAATTGGCAAACGGAGTTATAAATATAATGTACATGCGTCTTACACCTTACAATAGTTTGCTGAAACGTTTATATATTACTACTACTATACACAGGAGAGATTTTAACGTTTCGAATAAAATACGTGAGCAGAGTCTACATTATTATATTATACAATAAACATTTGTGTTTGGCTGTGGCGGTGTTAAAGTTATCGTTGTAAAAATATATGACCACGCCGACATTTCGCTGGGTACATAAAACTCGCATTAAGGTTTGCCGTGGTATGATATTATTATAATACCCCAACTCGGATTCAGTGGGTTTAAACGTTTCTTTCTCCCCCCCCCCATTTTTTTCTTCTATAAATTCGTTTATTCCGAAAACTATAGACAGTGCAGATGGTACGCTGCACGACTGCCACCGTCGAACGAACTGCATTTGTTTTCGCGTTTACATCGACAGGAAAACGCGGTTGAAAGCTCTTATATTAACATGCGGCCGACCCGTGGTTTAGTGCACCTTATTCGCAATAAATTATTAACGAAATTGGTAGGTTCTATATCTTTATATCACACAAAAAAATTAGTTAAGTTATCTTAACTAATTTTCTTCATTATGAACGAAATTAAATAGAAAACCGTAACTTCAAAATAAATTTAAATATTTCTGGTTTTTTTTTTCTATTATCGTTCAGTGTTATTATGGTCATAGACGTCTCCCTCTTTTTTTCAATTGATTAAAAGGGCCTTTTTTGACCACCGATTTAATGTTTCTATTTTTCGGGGAAGAGTGGTAGACTCCACAGCTATGGTCTTTATTATCTATACTCAAATATAAGAAATCAAATTTCAATAAGCATAGTTTTGCATACATAGGCGTAAGACTAAGGGGAGCCAATAAGGTTTTATTCCCCAAAAATTTCCTTTAACCTCCTCAACATTGCTTACAGCTTTTCCCGAAAAGGAACATGTAGTAAAAGATTTCCTCGTTACCCTTTTTTTTGCAAAACCGTAAAAAATATAATTGTATTATTATCTGATGCTAATTTTATACATTCAATATAAATAAATGCATACTTAATAGTCTTATTTTGGGTTTCAATGGAAAGTTTAAAATTGGAGTTACTATTGATGAATTTATGAATTTAATTAACGAAAAAGCTATTAGTTATTAGGAGTAACGTAGTGGTTAACCCCTCTGGAGTTTCTTAAAATTGAATCATATAGCTATCCAAAGACATAACTGGGGGGGATGGGTTGTCCAATGATGTGCGTTTTAACGTAAACAATATAAACACTGAGTGAATTAAATGAAAATATACTTTGGAGCTTATATACCCAAAATCTATTGTCAGTTAAAGTTTTGCAAGTGCCTATGTTACCAGTTCACACTCCTTTCCCTTAAATGTAGTTCGGTTCCGCTATTGTGTCACAAATAAATTCCGTAATGTCTACAGTGTTGAAAGTGTTAGTATGCGAGCTGCGTATGAATTTTTTTGTACATTTTTATCGCGGTTATTACCAATTTATTACTCATCCTTACTCCTCCAGTTTAAATTTTAAACTGGTATAACTCATAAAAGGTAAATCTGATATTAATGTTATGCATATCAAAATGTTTAGAAAAATATTCTCTATTTAAATCTATATTCAAAAAGGGAGGTTCCTATTTTAAAATCAAAAAAAAAAGTATTTATCTAAGGTATATGGAGTAGGGATAAAAAATTAAAAGTGGTCAAAAAATAAAGCTTTAAATGACCCCATAATGGTTAGAAAAAACAGAAACTAAATTCACTGAAAATCCTCTGAGATTGTTTGTTCATAGTAAAAAAATTATCCTGTATAGGTACACAATCAATAAATTGATTTCACATGAACGCAAAACAAAGTCAATTCAATTTTCATAACTAAATAAAGAATTGGCCTTTTTCGCGACCGTGTTATATACATATTTTTTTTAAATTAGATAGCGATTTTAATTAATAAACTTTTTTCTTTAGCTTCTGAAAAAAAACCAATAAAAAAATAATGGCCTAGGATAATGGGGCTAGATACAGTCGCTGTTATAGGTAATTTAATGTATTTATGCAAGCACCGATTAATCAATTCTAACGAAAAACAATTCTAAGCAGAGTTCGGTTGATAATGTTTCTTTGTCAGCAATATATATTTCATATTATGTAAATGATTACATATGTAGTAAACATTATTTTTAATATTTTACCTACTTTTCTGTTCTCCGATTTTCATCCGTTTTTCCGGTTTTGTTTAACAACTAAAAAACTACTGGAAAAATCAAAAAAACAACTTTTTTACAAACCTACGAAATTGAAAATGTAAAATCAATGATTCTTTGTTTTACTGTATTGAAAAATGTTTTCTGGTAGAAAATATAAGTAGTAAAAATAAAAATCAATGAAATCGGTATTTAACTCTGCGGTGTGTAACAATTTCTTCATCATCTTTCACGAACTACGGCTATGCAGCTTTACTGACCATGGGCACCTCGCTAACCACCTATTCTTGCCTAATCTGTATAGAAAAATGTATTTCCCT